CTAGTACGATAGAAACTGGTATTTTTTATGTAATAAAGGTTTGTGTTCCTAGGGCTTGTGAGTTTAAGAAATAAATGTGAAAGCGTCTTCCTTTGCAGGCAATTTTTCCAGTTTCATTTCTCTTCTCAAATAGTGTGAAGTTCTTGGCAAATAAGGACGATATTTTGAAGCAATATGAATACTTTCCTGAATTGTCTGTTCAACATTCATATTCAAATAAGGGGCCAAGGAGAGTTCACTTGGAGCTTCATTTAGGGTGAGTGGTTCTTGCTAATAGCATTGTCAATCAACAGTCACACATGATTTATTTTATGTGGTTTATCGCTGTACTTTTCGTTGTGACGGCCTAGCGTGGAAAAGCTCAATTATACTAAATGTCCAGTTGTACGAGAATTTTTTATGTTGATATCATACAATAACAGTCAATTCCTGAGAATTCGAGGGACACAATAGTAGATAAACTAGTGTCTCTCTATCAAATGTTTGATCTTATCTATAAGGGAAATATGCTGCAGTGAACTCTAAGAACTGATTTCCCGTGAGTATTTTGTGATTACTTCAATCATTGTGTGAATTTGTCCGACAAAAATAAAATCTATTTTTTTGGTCGTGTTTCCACCGCCGATTTGTTTTGCATAGTCTTAAATCTATTTCCCTTACTGCCTTGTCTGAAATGGAAGAATTTGAAAGTGTTTACATGTATAACTGGTATTTATCTTCCTTTCAGTTCCTTAGAAGAGATCTGGGTTACAGTTCTTAACATCACTGGTCCTTTATCAAATTGGTCATTTGCAGATAATATGCTTCCAGGTATGAAAAAACGTTTCATTTTCTTAGTTTCTCTTATGCGTTTCATAATATATTTTCATTGCTTAATTTAGTTTTTGCATATGAACAGGAACTGAAAGTTATGGTGGTGGTCCACAATCATATATATGTAGGCTTAGTGGAGCAAGTGATAGTAATTGGACCTTCTGGTTAGAGGTAAAAATTAAAATTTGATTCCATGCTGTATTAACTTTCCTTTACAAAAACAACCATAACTGAGTTTCAGTATGCCTAATGTTAAGAATTACTTTTCCTAAATTTTGTTACAAGGTTTTTATTAGGATATGTTTGTTTCCATTACCACCCATTGTGCATTTTCCTCTAGATGTTTTTTCTTTCTTATCTTTAATCCAATTGGTCCATCTGAATTGGTATGAATTTGTCATAATCTTTTCATACTAAATAGCCTAACATGCATGAGGAAGAATGTAATATATATATGCACGGTCAGCGTAATACATATGTACTTTTAGTGTAATGATTTATACACATTCAATATATAATTCAGCATTACGTACATTTAAAAGTCAATAGTATGTGATATTTTTTCTTGTTTTGATGATTACAGGCTAATAGCTCTGAAGCAATTAGGGTGGACATGGCAGTTTTAAATCAAAAGTTGATTGGTCCAGCAAAGAGATTGAAGGGACTTTTCCCTGATTGGGTTGATGTTACTGCATATTCTAGTTTTATGTCTACCTATCTCTTTTAAGGCTTAATAACCTAGCCTTGCAAGTGCATCATTTTTTTAGATTAATTTTGTAAAGGATGTTTTGGCAATTCATAAAAAAAAAATAGTTTTTGAAGTTCCTTTGTCTGTTCCACACTCATTTCCAGCACATGGACTTGTTGATATCATGTCAATTTAGCCAAGATTATAGATATCATTTCCGATAGATAATCTTAGTCTAGTGGGTAAGATTATTATTTAACATAAATGAACATAGAAGACTTTGATTAAGAAACTAACTTTTATTATATTACTCGGTGGAATGTAATTAACTTTTATTATATTACTCGAACACGATTAGGGAGCATCTAACAATCGGAGAATTCAATTGTTATGAGGGCACGGGAAGATTAAATAGTCACAAGCGAGACATCATATCTTGAACTAAAACTTTAAGATAATAATTTCATGAGTCTTATACTTATAAACTTTTTCACTTTTTCCGTCATATTCAATGTGAGACTTCACACTTGAATAAACCAAACAATTTCTCCATCAAGTGTGGGTACTATATACTTACTAGTCCATTCCCCCTTAAGTTCACCATGTCTCAGTTGAACTATCAGCTCTAATACTACTTTTTGGACTCGATCTCCAACTACCGAGAAGCTCCATTTTTATCGAAGCATGAAAAGATTGGAGAGCCAAAAGTAAGACATCACGTCTTGAAAAATCTAAAGACAATAGTTTCATGAGCCTTTATCACTTACAAATTATTTTACCTCTCCACTTATATTCAATATGAAAACTATTATTTTAAGGTTTTGGTTCAAGATGTGTAGTCTCACTTATGACTTTTCACTCTTTCTATGTCGCGGTAACAATAAAATTCTTTAGTGTTAGAAATTCCTTATTGCAACTAGGTTGAACAATAATAATATAAAATGTGGGAACATTTTTTAGTGCCTAACTTCTTTCTTTTACTAATTTGTCATTAATCATGCATGGCTTGTGGTGATAAATGGAAGTAGCATGACAATTATTATTCATTAAATCTTCTTAAATTACACAAACACTTGTAGAATTTTTAGTGAAATTTAAGGCGTGAAATTATATAAATTACATTTCCCTTTTTAAACATACACAAATCACCTCTAATTATATACATGCATTATATTGATTATCCTTGTAGGGGATATAAATGTGATTTATCATATTTTGTTTAACTTAATTACATTTGTTACATTTTTTGTTTAAGAAATTACATTTATCTATCATACATAATAGTCAGTATAATGTCTATACATACTTATGGATGATTTGTGTAGGTTTAAAAAAGAGCGGAATGATTAATGTAATTTCACTAAAACACTCATTGTATCAATATAATATAACTATTGAGTTATTCATTAGGTTTGATTTTTTAAATGAAAAAAATGAAGAAGGCGTCTTGGAAACTAGCTTCATGAGAAGTTTAAAACTAATTAGTTTTTGTCAACAAATAAAAAATACGACTTAATTTTAATTTAATTTTACAAAAATAATACATTAAATTCACATATTTAAATATAAATGAATGAGATAAAGTTAGAGACACTAAGTTGGGATAGATGATCTCTATCCTGATGCACACCAAATAATGATGACAATAATGTTCAATTGCAAAATGTAATATTTTATCGTACTCAATTCTAATCTAGCTCTCCCATGTGATAGAAAATACATTAGGTCAACATGATGAATGACAACAAGATAAGACAAATTATTTGTCTATTATCTCTCTTATGTCGGAAGAAACCCTTAATGTTGATGGTAGAGATACTACCTTGCATCACATGTTTGGAGTAGATGGCTTCAATCATGATTATTATGTTAGTTTTGTGGCTTTAGGTAGCATGTGTCTGTGGTACTAGTTTGGATGCTAATCTATTGGCCATTGAACATGATTAGTGCAAAGAGGTAATAATGGTTTTAAACAATTTCTTTGTGTATTTGACTACCAAGAATCAATATATCTTATTATAGTTATGAACTAGCCAGTACCCGTGCAGCACGAGGTAATATTTTTTGCCGCATGATTAATAACACATATTACATGTGTATTCACATGGTTAAGAACATACATGTTATTCATATATTTACATGTTTAAAAATACATATATTACATGTGCATTTGTATTGTTAAGAACAAACATGTGACCCGTACATTTTAATGGTTAAAAACATATATGTTACTCGTACATTCACATTGCTAAGAAAACACATGTTACCTATACATTTGCATAGTTAAAACACACATGTTTTCCATATATTCGCATTGTTAAGAACAATCATGTTAGCCGGATTACCAATGCAAGAATAAATTTATAAAATAATTATATTTCCATTATTCAATTCTATTATTTTATTATTATTATATTTTATTAAATAATATATTGAGTAATAAACAATATGTAGGTATATATTTTATCCTATGTGAGAGATTGTACAAAGTGATTTGTCTTTATTGTGGGTGTCATTTTTATTATTATATGTTATTAAATAATATAATTGGCAATGAATGGGTAAGAATAAACATGTGACCCGTACATTTTAATGGTTAAAAACATATATGTTACTCGTAAATTCGCATTGCTAAGAAAACACATGTTACCTATATATTCGCATAATTAAAACACACATGTTTTCCGTATATTCGCATTGCTAAGAATAGTCATGTTACCCGTATTACCAATTCAAGAATAATTTTATAAAATAATTATATTTTCATCAATAAAACTATTCAATTCTATTATTATTATTATTATATCTTATTAAATAATATATCGTAATAAACAATATGTAGGTATATATTTTATCCTATGTGAGAGGTTGTATAAATTGATGTGTCTTTATTGTGGGTATCATTTTTATTATTATATGGTATTAAATAATATAATTGGTAATAAATGTGTATGATGTATTTTATCTTGTGTGAGATGTTATACGTTAACAAAGTGAGGTGTTTTGGGAGGGAAAATTTTTGTTGAGGTTGTGACACTTATCATTGGATGACATGAAAGAACTTTTTTTTCTTATATAGTATATAGATGAGCATCAGCCACACCAATATATTCAATAAGTTATCTTGATTGAATATATTAATGTTTTGCTTAAGACGGAATTGGTTGTGCAAATGACTCATATCATTAGTATGAAACAACTCATTTTGTTAGTACTACTAATGGTATTCCTTCACTTTATTCGACAAATAATTAATTCCTTTTGGAGTGCACGATTTTCCATCATAAAAGTGTAGTAGAAAAAGTTAGCAATAGTTTTTCAACAATATCCTTACCACAAATAGTTTTTAAATTTAGCACTAGTTTTTTTTAACTAGGATTGGGCTCAGCCCACGTCAATTTTCATAATAATGTCCACAAGGCCCATAAAATTAACCAATTGGGCCAGAACCACTCATGAGTTAGGTTAATAAAACCCACTATATAAGCTCTTACAACCATTCTTCAACCCTTACAGTTTCTCTTTACTCCCCAAGGCCATAACATTAACCTAGCCGCCATGGTACCAATCAATCGTTTCTCTATCTCCTCTTTTTTCATTTCAATTTTTCAGATTTCTCATCTGTTTTTTTTTTCATTTTCGTTTTTGTTTTTAGGTGAAGTATTCAAGAGAGCCTGATAATCCCACCAAGTGTAAGTCCATAAATAAGTGCTTTTTTTCTTTCTATTTTCATAATCGATTTACGTATAACATTGTTGTTAGTTAAGTCTTAATCTTAACATTTTTTTAATATTCGTATTTACAGCTTGCAAGGCTAGAGGTGCTGACCTTAGAGTGCATTTTAAGGTACCCATTTTGATAAATTTTTAATTTTCAATGATGATAAAATTAGTGTTTTGTTTTTAATCTATGAGCATGTCCTTCATTAACTTAAGGAATAGTATTAGTTAACCATTGTTTTTGGGTGAAACTTTTCTGTCCTGTTATTGATTCTAGGTTTAGTAATTGTTGTGACATGATGAGTTTTAGTTGAATTATAATACTTATTAAAGTAAGTGTTTGATGTTAGAGATGATTGTTTGAACTTGTTTCATGTTAATTTGGATGATGCTTGGAAAATTGAGTGAGTTAGAAAACCTGATGAAAAAAGCAGGGGTTTGTTGCCTTTGTGAACTGGCCTCTCGTAACATTCAGGGATATCATAACCAATGTTATTGGGTGAACCTATGTTTTTTTTTGTGTGGCTTAAGGTTCAGTAAACAATGGAACATGTCAATTCATTGATTTTAAGTTATTTTGTTGTTATGTTATTTTTTTACTGCCATCATGTATAATTTGAAGAAAATGTAGCTGTGATTTGTTGTTACTAAATACATTTTATTTTATTTACTAATGAAGTGGCATAGTTTCTGTGTGATTTACCTTACTAAACGAAATTATTTGTGCACATGATTAAATTTTCTAAAATTAGGAAAAGGGATAGCAAGAACTTTTTTTTCTTTAAAAAAATGGAGCTAGGTAACCTGATTAAAAAAGCAGGGGTCTGTTGCCTAATGTGAGCATGCCTCTCGTAACCTTCAGGGATATAATAATCATTGTTCTTGGGTGAACCTCTGCTCTTTATTTGTGACTGACGGTTCAGTAAACGATGGAACATGCTTTTTGGTGGCATTTATGACTGAACCATGATTAACTTGGGTTTATTGTTATAGTGTTTTTCTCTTCTGTTTTTGATTGAATGTTACAACTATTGATTTTATTTTGTTCGAATTTATCTATTAGTTTCCTGTACTTAAAACCATATATTTCATTTATAGAACACTAGGGAGACAGCGTTTTCCATCAGGAAGCTGCCCTTGGTGAAGGCCAAAAGGTACTTGGAGGATGTTCTTGCCCACAAACAGGCCATTCCATTCCGAAGATTCTGTCGTGGTGTTGGGAGAACAGCCCAGGCAAAGAATAGACATTCTAATGGACAAGGACGCTGGCCCGTCAAATCAGCTAAATTCATTCTTGATTTGCTCAAGAACGCTGAGAGTAATGCTGAAGTAAGACCGATATCTTTATTTGCTTTTATATTTGTCTAATTTATTCTGACTGTTTCAAAATATTTAACTAGTAATTCCTTTCTTTCAGGTGAAAGGGTTGGATGTCGATGCACTTTACATTTCTCACATCCAGGTCAATCAAGCACAGAGGCAAAGGCGTCGTACCTACCGTGCCCATGGAAGAATTAATCGTATGTTTCTGTTCTTTAGTTTTTTATTGATTGTTAGGAGGTTTTGTTTGATTAATCGGAATTGTTTTTGCAGCCTACATGTCATCTCCATGCCACATTGAGCTTACACTATCTGAAAAGGAAGAACCTGTTAAGAAAGAGGTAATTGTTTAATCACCGGTTTTGATTTTTTAATTTTTGTCATAATCTAATCTCCATTATTTGTGTTTCTTGTAGCCTGAGTCTCAGTTGGCACCAAGCAAGAAGAAATCCCAAGCCCTTCGAAGTGGTGCTTCATCTTAAATTGTTATTTTACCAAATTATTGAGGGCTCTATATTCCCTAGAATTTCTTGAGGAGAGAGTTTTGCTGCTTGTTTTGTTTTTCTTTCATTGTTATGAGCTTTTTCCTAGAAGAGACCTGACCACCAAGTTTTCTTACATACAATTTCAACTTTATTTTGAGTTAATGGAAATACTTTATGAAGATAGACTTTTTGTTGTTTAATGCTTTTGATAATTTTTAGGTGTGAAATTTAATTATGAATCATTGATATTGATATTTAAATTTTTCGAAGCAAGGAGAAATTGTGTTGTACTTTAAAATGATGATACACAATTTCCACAACCTATTTAAGGATTAGAATGATGATAGTATGTCTTTTGGACCTTCATGTTCTAGTCTTCGTTTTCTATTTTTTTAAAAGCAACCCAGTTTTTGTTGTGAACTTTTATAGAAATTGAAACTAAAAGCAAGAACAATTTGAAAGCAAAGGACTCTAGTTTATTTGCTGCTTAATGCTTGGCTTAAATAGCCATTCAATACACCAGAAACATGAACTGAAAGCAAAATACAAATAAAGACTAAGTCTGTCCTATAAAGTAGGACTTTTATTCTAACTAAATATTACTGCAGTAACTCTTTCATTCCCTCCCTTAAACTAAATGCTTTACAGCAACTAGTTTATGTCAGAAATTTCACATACTCCCGGCATCTTTCTAAGCTTCTGGAAAACTTCAAGCTTCAATGGTTTGGTCATTATGTCCGCAACTTGATCTTCACTCCTGCAATGAACCAGTTCAATTGCACCCTCCTTAGTAAGATTCCTTAAGAAATGAAATCTCACATCAATATGCTTGCTGCGACCATGCATAACAGGATTTTTAGATAGCTTGATGGTTGAACTATTGTCACACTTTACAGTTATACCATCTCCATGAGCATGTCCTAGCACCTCTAAAATTCTCTTCATCCAGATTCCTTGACAAACACATACTGCAGCAGCCACAAACTCAGCTTCTGTTGTTGACAAAGTCACAATAGGCTGTTTTTTCGAACACCATGAGACAGCCCCTGAACTCATTAAAAACACATAACCAGATGTACTCTTCCTATCATCCACATCTCCAGCATAGTCGCTATCTGTAAACGCTAACAGCTCACCATCTCCTCCTTTCTTATAATGAAGTCCATAATTTAAGGTCCCCTTTAAATATCGAAGTACTCTCTTAGCCAATTGTAGATGAATCTGCATTGGTTTGGCCATATATCTACTTATGAGACAAGTAACAAACATGATGTCGGGTCTTGTGGCAGTGAGGTACATTAAACTTCCCACTAGCTGCTTGTAGTATGTTTCATCAATAGCATTTCCATCTCCATCTCTACTTATTTTAAATCCTGGAACTATTGGACTGCTCACTGAGTTGCTTTCCATCATGGCAAACCTTTGCAAAACTTCTAATGCATATTTTCTTTGACATATATATACCATCAGATTTTTGCAAAACCTCTATCCCAAGAAAAAACCTCATCTTACCCAAATCCGACATATCAAACTCTCTTAACATAGAGCTTTTAAATTCAGACATCATAACTTCACAATTTCCAGTAAAAATTAAATCATCAACATAAACACTTACAATTATAATTTTTCCTTCTTTGCTTCTCTTTGTGAATAATGTCTGCTCACTATCACACCTCTGAAATCCTTCACCAATGAAATGTGCTTCGATTCGACTAAACCAAGCTCGTGGTGCTTGTTTTAATCCATACAAAGCTTTGTGTAACTTGTAAACAAGATGCTTACTGCCTTCTTTTTCGTATCCTCTTGGCTGTTCCACATAAACATCTTCACTCAGCTCACCATGGAGGAAAGCCGATTTGACATCCAACTGAAAAATCTGCCAACTATTATATGCCGCTAGAGCAACAATCATTCTCACTGTATCCATCCTTGCCACTGGTGCATAAACTTCTGTGTAATCCACTCCATGCTTTTGAGAATACCCTTTAGCAACCAAACGAGCCTTGTACTTGTCAATTTTTCCATGCTCATTGTATTTGGTTTTATAAACCCATTTTACTCCAATTATTTTGGCCCTAACAGGTGGTTGAGTGAGTGTCCATGTATGATTCTTTTCAATGGATTTGATTTCATTATCCATGGCCAATTTCCAATTTTTACTCTTCGCTGCTTCTTCAAAATATAATGGATCAGTTGACACCATTAAAGCCAAGTGGTGTTCATCGTCAGACAAACCTTCACCACTAACATAATCATTCATCCATGCTGGAGGTCGCCTCACTCTCTCTTCACCATCACTATAATCATCCCCCGTTTCTCCAACTCCCTCGTTATGGGTTTCGCCAAACTCCCTGTCAACATTTTCTTCATTCTCATTTTCACCTGTCATTTCTTCATTTTCAACACTATCCCATTCTAAATCTAGCATTGTTTGTTTTTCATTCCAATCCCATTTCTTTTCCTCCTCAAAGATAACATCTCTACTCACGACAACTTTCTTAGCAATCGGATCAAACAACCTATATCCTTTTGATTCTTCACTGACTCCAAACAAAACGCACACAATGCTTCTATTGTCAAGTTTAGTCCTCCTTGCTTCTGGAACATGAGTGTGTGCTATGCACTCAAAGACCCGAAAGTGATTAACTGAGGGTTTTACTCCACTCCAAGCCTCCTCTGGTGTTACATCCTTGACTGCCAATGTAGGACACCTGTTTAGGACATAAACAGTCCAATTCACTGCCTCTGGCCAGAAGGTTTTGGGAATGTTTTTATCAGATAGCATGGAACGAACCATGTTCATAACAGTTCTGTTTTTCCTCTCAGCAACACCGTTTTGTTGTGGAGTATAAGCAGTGGTTAATTGTCTCTTAATCCCACTTTGTTTGCAAAAATCATTGAACTCATTTGAATTAAATTCACCTCCTCTATCAGTGCGTAGACACTTAATAGACATCTCAACTTCCTTCTCAACCATGATTTTGAAGCATTTGAAAGAATTTAAAGCCTCTGACTTTTCTACCAAAAAATACACCCATGCTTTTCTACTGTAATCATCAATGAATAACAGGATGTACCTTTTTTTGCTGTTAGATATGGGACTAATAGGACCACAAATATCTGAATGAATGAGTTCTAACTTCTGAGTTGCTCTCCAATTACTCTTCCTTGGAATAGCGTCACGATGTTGCTTTCCGTTGATGCAATCAGTGCATGTCACATTGGAGATAGAGAGTTGAGGAAGTCCACGAACCATATTCTTGTACAACAATGTTTTCAAGCCTTTGTAACTTAAATGTCCATACCTTCGATGCCAGAGATGAGACAATTCTTGAGCTTTTGTGTGAAAGCACTGATCAGATTGTACTTGTGAAAAGGCTTGGGTTTGGGGCAGCAAGATAAACATCCTATTGGTACTCATGTTGGTTTGAATAATCAAACCCTTCTCTGGATGAAATATCTTGCAACTTCCTTTCTTAATCAAAATTGTCAAATCCTTTTCTTGCAATTGCCCTATGCTTAAAAGATTATTTTTCAGTTCTGGAATGTAGTATACTTCAGTAACAGCGAGATTCATTCCATTTAGCAGCAACTTCACACTTCCTTTTCCCATCACATTCATCTTAGTGTTGTTTCCCAATTTTACAGAATGTCGGAATTTTTCATCAAGTTCATTGAACATTGTTCGATCCCCGCACATATGATTAGAACATCCTGAATCAAGGAACCATGCATCTTCTCTTTTAGCTTCATAGAAATCCACATAAGACATCAAAATCATTTCTGATTCTTCGTCAAATTCTGCATAATTAGCTTCTTTGTTGCGAGGACATTCATAACGAAAATGGCCAAGTTGATGACATTGGTAACACTCTATGGTTGCCTTGTTGAAATCTGTTCGACCTCTACCTCTTCCTCTTCCTTTGTAAGCAACTCGACCACGACCTCTTCCCCCTTCATATGTCACTTTCAAGGGTTGTTCCTCACCGCTGCGTCTTTGGAACTTCTGTTCATGTACTATTAATGAGCTTTGTAACTCATCAATAGTAAGCGTATCGATGTCCTTTGACTCTTCAATAGAACAAACAATGTAGTTAAACTTCTCAGTTAAAGAGCGTAGAATCTTTTCAACCAC